TTTTTTTGACATTAAGCCTATTCAGTTTCCGTTTAACTTTTTCTTGTCACCACGTTTTTACAAAGCCTGTTATTTTCTCGTTACTCAGTCTTGTTTCATAACATTTGTTCCTAGCTTTTTCTACCTTTTCTTGCTTTACAGCGCGTGATGTTTTTCAAAAACAAGTTGTTTTTGATTCCATCAAAAGGACTCAAAGACACACAACGAAAACACAATCCCTTACCTTGTCCGTTAACTTCCAATACACACAGCACTAGCAAAGTAACACTAATGATATTCATTATCCAGGGCGCCATATTCTCCAGCTTTCGCCCTAGGTTAGCCCAGTCGTTTCTTCACATACAGGTACGCTACAAATGCGCAACAGATCTAGCCGGTTATAAGCTAACAAGAAACGAAAATCAGATGTATGGAGCGGAACTAGAACTGAGAGCAAATATTGGTGTTGATCGGTTACATTAGTGGATGTAAACACAGAAAAAATGAAACCAATCGAGCCGAAGGGGACCGGAAAACGCAGAGAAAACCTGACAGATTTATCGTTGAAGAAAGGTTTTGATATCTACAGTTTACATTACTAATGAATTAAGCCACTTTTTGATAACGTTTGAAATATGATTCACATCTTGTAAGATGATTTTTATAAGGGTTTAAAGTTTAAGAAGTCGTGCATATTTCGATTCAAAAATCGATTAAGAAAAAGAGGAATTTTCCTTTTTGCAAATTGTTTTCTTGGGGTAAAAAGTTAAAACAAATAAGGCAATTTCTCGCTAATTAGTCACCTTGTCCCAATTATCTTCTCAAATTCACAAGTTAGCAAGAAAATTAGTTTTGAAAGACGAGAATTTATTTTTATTTTTTACTAATTTTATCTTCGAGTTCTCGCGTACCAAATGTTAATCACAATAAAGCACAAGCTTATTGAACCCTGAAACTAATCTTGGCCAGCTGATAATAAAAGTCAGAGCACGGCTATTCACAATTATAATTGGAATTTAGCGTGCTGGATTTTGCGGGAGTAGTTAGAACACGGAGAGTAACCTGGAATGGATAACGCTCACCTCATTGAAGATCAAAATTGTGCAAAGATTTTTGGGGAAAAATGCTCGAGAAAACTACTGAATCGCTACAAACTAGAAGCTACATTTTACTATGACTTTTTGAGATAAAAACGTTAAATTATTTGATCGATGTTTATTAATTATATAAAATCGACTTCCTGCGCCGATAAACAAGGATGGATACGTATAGTAGGCGTTTGTGACAGATGAGTTTTGAGTCTAAATACGTTAGGCTTGTTATCGCATTTGATGACTTTTACTGTTCAAAATCAAACACTTGGATTCAACTGCCGGATCATAGCTCAACAGATCAGTCAACAAACGCATTGAGTGTTTGTACAGATAAATGTGACTTGATAGATCGGCTCTTTAGAAAAACTAAGTATAGTTGAGTAAGAAGCCTGGACGTATAACATACGCATTGTTTATCGTGAACACAGGTGGCACGAGTTGGAAGATACGAAACTTATATGATTTTACTCTACCGAGCGGTTCGCTCCACATGCACTACCACTACATTCACTGTTTACAATTGTACAACACATGTTCATTTTAACGGGGGAAACCCAGAGAACCCCCCCCCCCCCCCTACCGTGGCAAGAGCGAAAAAAACACATCAAACAAACTCAACTCCGTATGTGGCCCAGTCGAAAATCGAACCGCCTGTGACCCAAGACGTGAACTACGCGCGCAGCGACGAGCCATGCCAAGATCCCCTCAACTACCATTGCAACCATTTTTTTCATTTTATAATACATTCGACACAATCTCGATTCTGATTGGACAAGAGGAGTACAATTAAATCGCTAATTGTACTCGTGTAGAGTCTCAATTACGTTGCTCAATTTGTTGAGTGTATTATAAACAAAAAATGTCACCATCTTCTCGTACGATTCGAACTTTGTAGATGATACTCGTGATGTTTTGAAAGTTCTCAAATGGAACTCGCCCAAAGACTCGTCTAATTTTGATAACTTTCAAAACATCACTCGTGCCTATAAATTCCGAATAGACCCATCCCGAATTCCCTTAACTGCCCACGAAACAACGGTTTGAAGTCGAGAATGAACTTGATTCTTTTATTCATCAAGTTCAACCTCGACTTAAAACCATTGTTTCGTGATCAGTCAAGCGAATTTGGGATATGTCTATTGTACTCGAGATCTTGCGACTTCCTATACAAACCCTTTAGCCAATCATATCGTTTATTTCCTTTCCTTTAATCTTTTCTACGCATGGTCCCTTAAACCAATATTCTCTTCAGCGATCGAAGTGATTAATAATATATTTGCGTCTTCAAGATAATACACTCTTGCTATTTTGCTTCCATTTGTAAAGAAATCTCCATTTAATGAACCAGTTTTGCATTCGAAGCAATCTGCAGCTGTCTTTGAAGACCACAGACTTATCTGTACAGGTTTAGTATTGTTTATAAGTCGGCTATTTCACTCTCGAGTTCTCTTCAAACCCGCAAATAGTCCCTTTCATGTAAAGTTCCCTGGGCCATCTTGATAGGTACAGTAGCTAGCCTTGCCTTTGCATCAAAGCGAGGGCGATGAGGATTTTGCAATGATAGACACCCTTTTTAACATCTTGGAAAATTATTCACGCGGTTTCTATCATTGTAAGCTCACCGTTCGTCTCGCTTCGATGCAAATTCACGGCTACCTTTCAAGATGGTGCAGGGAACCGTGAAGGGGACTACAGACCCCTTGCATCGATTTCCTAGAGGAATTGTACTGGGCTTTCTTATGCAAAAAAAATCCATTGTCTTGTTCCCCAGGACAATTCCTCTCGGGACTCAGTTTAAGGGGTCTATCGCGCGCTTCAACGTCACACCACTATGGCCAACGGTTGGACTTTATTGGTTCCCACAATCAATCAAACGTAACAAAGTTATAACCATGATTATTCGTATAAATCTTTTCATAATTTAACAGATATTCTTACCTACATATTTCAGTATATAGCATATTTAAATATATACAAAAAGTAAGGCTCCAAATCCCTACAATATATATATATATATATTTTTTAATATTTCCTATCAAAATTATTTTTTCCAACGATTGTGAAAACAAATTGCACGAACAAATTGACGTCAGTAAGTTGTAAGGTGTATCAAAAATGTCAATATTCCAGCTACATTTTCTTTTCTGATTGGTTTAGGACGGAAAACCATTTGAGTGTCAATAACTTATCTAGAATTCCCATTCTGTAAAAAAATCGGTCTCAGATAGAGTGCAAACTATTTAAAGCTATTTCAAAAAAGGTTGAATACTGAATACTGCTTACTGAATAGTGCATTCCAAGAACAAAGGGCACTGTGAGTCTCGTTAATTTGAAATAAAAAGTAAATATACAGCAATTAACTCTCTACATGTAGTTAGTATATTGTTTCAGATGGAATACACTAAAAATAGAATAAATAATAATTATTAATCCTACTTTAGACAATGTCACTATGACCCACAATGCACTTCGGTCTTGGAGTGCACTTTTCAGTATAAAGCAGTATTCAGTATTCAACCTTTTTGAAATAGCTGTATACGTGAAATAGCACGAAAACTAAATAGCACTAAACACATCTATTTCTTTTGTTTTTATTGTCTTGTACTAACTAGTTAATACTATTCCACCGATATACTGTTTGCACTTTACGACTCCCGTTATAGGCTTTTCAGTTACAATAAAAAAGCTGTAGAGTACAGTTCGGTTTTATCAAACAGTTCCGATGTTTCTATATTTTTTGATTCTATCAGGAACGTTCTCTCGGAAGAGAATCGGATCAGCGCGGAATTCCACGCTCTTCAGTGGGCTGTGTCCTCCATATGCTTTGACGAACTCGTTTAAACAGGCCGACCGCTCCACGAAGTGTTTCGGGTTGGCCCATAATGAATCGCTTGTGCAGTTGTAACACCTGAAACGCTTCCTGGAAGTTACCTTGGTAATGAGAAGAGTAAGATGTCAGAAAGGGAAGTAGATGGAAGAAAGAATATTTGGTCGTGATTTGTCTTACCTTGATCGGAGCTTTGCCTGTGTAGTTAGCCACCATAAAGTTCATTGCAATGTCTTCACAGTTCATATGATTGTCAACCCAGGATCGAATATGATATGGCATCATGTATGTGAACACGTGACTGAAATACTGAAGTCAATCAGTGATGAGAAAAGGATGTCAATGACCATAAGGGTAGCTGTTTATGTGTGTGTGTGTTGTGTTGTGGTGTGGTGTGGTTGGTGGTGGTGTGGTTTGTTTTGGTTGCGGTGTGATTTGGTTTGTGATGTGGTTTGGTTTGTTGTTTAGCGTGGTGTAGTGTAGTGTACTATATCGTAGTGTGGTATAATGGTGTATAGTGTGGTGTGGTGTGGTGCGGTGCGATGTGGTATAGTTTAATGTAGTGTGGTGTGGTGTGGTGTGTTGTGGTGTG